CACAGAAAGAGTGTCAGGTCCCGTATCGGTTGTCCATTCCCCTGCACGTGGTCCATGGACCACCATACGAAGAGCAACACAGGTGTGTGTGTGTGTGTGTGTGTGTGTGTGTGTGTGTGTCCCCTCGCTTCGCTTGTTGTCCTCTTCTCCCTCTCTGCCTACGTCTTACCAGGCAGCCCTCTGTGACGATGTAAAAATGTTGGGGAGTGTGAACCGGCAGTCTGTAGAGTCTTCCGTCTGGTCCCGGTGAGTGCTAGTCTACTTCGATTCGCATCACAGCTACCCTCCCTCGAGGGCAGCGGTTGGTGCAGACCTCAGTTGTGGGGCAGTAGTTTAACAACAGTCAGGGTTGAGGGTACCCATCACTTACAGTGTCATGGGTTACGTACGGGACTCTGCAGGTTGTAGAGGGTTCAGCCTCCTGACTGATGAAATTGGCAAAACCCCGACGAAACAGTCTGTCACAGCCCCCAATGGCTTGTCCCCTTCTCCCTTTATGCCTACGGCTCACTGGGCAGTTCTCTATGGCAAATACATATAGATATCATGCTGTCTGCTGTTTTCTGGGTTTGTTTTGCAAAGTGTGCTCCCTCAGTTGATGGATATGTGACAAGACATATGTATAAACATGCTGTCCATGCTCGGGAAGAGAAGTGCATCCTTAGTTTTTTTGTCCCTTTTTGGGTTTTTTAACTTTTGTTTTACCGTCCTTTACTATTTTCCGCCTACATTGCGCCCATCTCCTTGCTAGGAGCACACCTTCTTGCACCTTACTGAGAAGGAGACTGGAATCCAGGTGTAAAGGCAGGGAGAATCGGCACAGCAGTATGAACTTACTACAGCTGCTGCCACCACCCCCATTGCGGAATTTCCTACCCCTAAGGAATCTGGGAGTCCATGAGAGAGGACTGAGAATAACCTTACCCCATGGCCATGCTGGCCGTGCACCAACTGCCGCGCTTTGAGTGCCAAGGAGCTTTGCCCGATGGGTAATCCCACCTTCTCAACTAGCCCCGTGCTACAGTGTCAAACAGGCCCCTCAGCTGAGCAGCGAGATCGCGGTCTGGAAGAAACACGATAGCACAGTGTGAGAAAGTGTGGGAAGCAATAGGCAGGGGTTATGGGGGTCTCGAACAGCAGCATTTTAGCAAATACAGTGATAGGGCAGCAGGAAGGAAACGGACCTTGTGGCAGGAGGGTAAACTAATAAAACACAAAAGAAGCTTCAATGCATCAAGTAGAGTCATTGTGGCGGCTGTGTGCAGAGAGCCATGCATACAGGGATGCCTAAAAACGTTCGTGATAGGTGGCATGCCGGATTGGAGGCAAGGACAGAAAAGAAGGGGATGAGAATGACCGCAGGAAGGAGAGAGAG